TATCAGCTACTGCCTCAAAACAGATGAATACCATAACAGAAGAAGAACTGATAGAGAGGGTCAATGAAGCTTTAAAGCTAGAAAATGAAAGATTTGAGAAGCGCAAACGATCCACTGCTGTCAAGGTTCCCAAGGGACAAGAGCTCTAAACGGAATACCGGGCAGTCCCGGAACCTGTTCAGGCTACACAAAACCTAAAGAATCCCCCACTGCAGTGAAACCAGTTAAAAATAAAGAGCCTCAACCAGGCAAATGGCAGATAACAGAATAATCTTGCAAAGAAATGACAGAAATGTTTCTGGCTGCTATGAAAACCAGTTCCAAGTTACCAACGCTGATGCTGATGGACTGTCGCTAATATGTTTTAGGCTTGGATGAGGGGTTTGGCTTTGAGAACCTTTGTTCTTTGGGGCTTTGGTGTCCACTGGCAGTGAGGGGGAATATCGTTGACTTCTCTTTTAATCGGCTGAAGGGATGTTGGTCCTTCTTCAGTAGATTGGATGTTTCACATTTGTAAATTGAAGCAGCTCGACCTGCTATGCTTTTAGCTTGGGATTTGATCTGTAACCAGGAACTCAGATCAGGTCAGGTGTAAGTTTGGTCAGTACCTTTCCTAAGCATACCTTGGTTCTGACAGTGTTCCACAAACCCATCTCGGTGGCTTGAAGGTATTTTGCTCTGTAGTCGGTCGACATGAGATCCACATAGCAGCTCATAGCTGTTCTGACCCTCCAGGGTCCTAAGCATGCCTACGGTACTAGTGATTGGATAGATGGGGCAAAGACATCAAATGATTCAGTCACCAAACTTTAGTGCTGGGGCATTTAGGATGGCACGCAGTTCACATTGGAGGAGCTGAAGTGGTTTACCATACTTATCTTCTAGAGCCTGCATAGCTGCTGTATACAGCCTTGGATCCAATGAAGGATTTAGCCAGTTGGAGTGTGCTCTGCAGCTTCAAATGTCCAGGAAACACTTGATATTTGTACTGCTCATTCAGGTGAACGTGGCTGTTTAGAAGATTGTTGAGCGCTATCTTCAGTAAGGCAAAGTTGCTTTCTTTGCCACTTTCAAAGGAAGGAATCATAGGTTTGGGAATGCCATAGGAAGGGGAGAAGAGCCGAGAAACATCCACTGCCTGTGGTAATTGTGGAGTGGATTGAGGCAAGGCTGAATGGTAGGACGCTGTTTTGACAGGATATGCGAAGGCTGACTGAGTCGGCTGACATTGCACTGAATAAACTGAGTATGGAGCAGGGACTAGGTTGTAGTTCACCAGTGCTAAACCAGGAAGCAAAGGTGAAGGAGGAGCTGACTGTAATGATGGATGAAGAGGTGAAGTTGTAAATTGTCCTGGAGGTGGATCCACATTAACTGGAGGTGGAGCTGCAGCATGCAGAGCTAGGACACTGAGAGGTGTAGCTAAACTCACTGCAGGAGGAGCTGGGGCCAAAACGGGCTAAGCTCTGTGGAGAGTGGGAGGCGTAGCCACCATCACCGGTGGCAAAACTGAGGCTGTGGTAGGTAGGGCTGCATGAAGCACTTGAGGCAGAGCAATATTTACTGAGGGTGGAGCTGCGGCTGTAGGAGGCAGAGCAGGAGGTTGGTTGGCTGCAGGTGGAGCAATAACCATGGGAAGAGGAGCTGGAGTCGGCAGAGGCACAGGGTTACTTATCTTGTGCTGATCTGATGTATATAAACTAACAGATTCCAATGGAAAACATCTAAACAACATGGGCTTTCTAACAATAGTAACATGTTAAAATCTTAGACTGGATTTATATCACTTCCTTGTCCTTCCATTCAGTGGTGTAATGGATTAAGTCTTTAGCTTAATCCAAATAATGTAGCTTCTATGCCTAGCTCCTATCCCTTTGGGGTCAATTGGAGAACACCATCCAGGGTAGAGAAATATGGGGAGACTATATTTTGATAAAATATTCTCCCCAAACAAAAGGAGTTCAGGACTGCTGCTTAATTCAGACAGCTTTCAGCCTCACAGACATCACTACATACACATAAATTCTGCATGTCAAATTAGTACGACAGGTTTCTGGAAAAGAACTAAAAAAAAACATGTTACACAAATATAGTGACCAGCTGTAGCTCTCCACAATAAAACCCAAAACGTGTGAAGGTGAGGACATTTGCATGTCTTACACTCAGTACATATGAAATAATGCATATTTTTTAAAACTCTGTGAGGTGGGCTGTGCCTATATACATCCAGTTGCAAATGTTTGTGGGCAACCGAATTGTTCCTGGAGTTGGTTAGGGACATCAGCAGGTTCATGTGCTAAACGAATTGGTCCTTGCTCCCTTCCTGCCAGAACTATTTTAGAAAGGACCCATCATAGCACATTTCTGGCATTGCTCAAGAGTCTTTATTTTAGGTATTGGAGTGAGAATTTGACTTAAAAGTTGGGGACTGTGGAATGGTTCCTGACTAAATGTAGAATGGCATTTGGTATGAAAACTTTATCAAGCTGCAGATATGATTTATATATATTTTTTTGTTAAACACCATTAGTTTTCATTTAAAAAAACTAGAATTACTAGAGCAAAGATAACTCTCTCCTGGTCCATGGACCCCCTAAGAGGTTTAGCCTCACTGTAAGCGAACGTATTTTGGAATACGTTTGGTGCAGCCCTGATTTGATTATCCAATCAGGGTTGCACTTTCTTGTTGCTTACCTCAATAGATGAAGAGTCAAACCTCCACAGGGGTTTCTCATAGAGACCGACCTGCTGCTCCAGATAGGAGGGGAGATTGCGTCCGAGTGTGGAATAACAGCTGATTTATGCACAACATACTCCTGAAATCAGGCAAAATTTAGCTCATATGTAATTTATAAAGTTTTATAAAGTTTGAAAATTTTAATTTTACCAATGATTTAATGAAATGTAATTTGCCAGTATTCAATGAGAATCGCCACCGACTTTTACCTGTTCATTTAGATTTTATGTTGACAAAATTACCTTCCTGTGCCCTAGAGGGGCATTTTATCTTAATGTGTGCAGCCCAGCTTCAATACAATTATAGAATCCTGGATCAAAAAGAAAAAGTAGCCAACCTGTTTCAAAGTTTATTTTGTGACATGTAGCCTAATAATGTTACTATTGTAGAATCCTGATGTAGTTTGTTCTTCTGTGGCCGGGGAAGATTACGAAGATGTTTCCAATTTTTTTTTATCCTTATGATGGTGCCGGACATGTTAAATTGTCTGCTAGTGTATCACTAGCAGACAATCTAAGCCTAACACAGGTCATCTATGAGACGTTAAAGTCATGGCTCCATTAGTTTGGTGTGGTGCTAAATTAGGAACCAGCATCTCGCACAGCAGAGTATGTGTATTGCCAGAAAAGCGATAATACTCATGCAGGTAATTGCTGGGAAAAATTCAAACATGGGCATTCTATTGTGAAGGAAGACATGTGTTTGAAGCTACCTTATGGAAGATAACTTTGCTTCTTTATCAGACATTTCTATAATCCATTCAACACATGCAAAGTCTACTAAAGGCCTTTCCACTGATCATAAAACAGCAGTCTTTAAACACACAAAACTTAAATAGAAAATTATAAAGCTAATAAAAGTATAGGCCATCTTAATTTTAAAATTATTAAAAACTTGACTAAATAATATGAATTTGTGGTTTTTCATAGGCTAAAAACAGATGAACATGCAGAAAAGAAAACAGAAACACTGACAAATGTCAATGATTTCACATAGGTGACTGAAGAGATACCAGAGAGCACCAGAATTAAGTGAGCCCGTTTTTAGCCGGGTTTGGAGCAGGCTAGCTGCACACACTAAATCACCGTGGAAACTAATGTTTTACTGTTTTTGTGAAGCTGAGTAAAGGCTTAATTAAGGCAGGTTATGCAGAAAATCATGGCTTAATCCCTTATCTTGATTTTGTAAAATTGGCATCTGGTCCATCTAGTTTAGCTCATTTGAAGACATTGGTATCAATGCAGTATATTAACTACTGCACCAAGTTGCCATTTGAAAATTAGCATAGATTGTATTATACATTTAATGACAAAAATAGGAGGCTTCTAAAAAAAACAAAGCAAACAGTTTAAATGCATTCAGAAATAGAATTTTATTGGCATGATGTGTTCCTAACTTGGTATTTTTAATTTCAGAAATAAAAAAAAGGACTAGTTTCAGTCGTTCAGCCAACTTTTTAAAGGAAACCGATTATTGCTGATATCATATTCCTTGATTCCAGCAAAATGCTAATCCTCATGCTTGATCCACTGACTCCGGTCATGATAAACAACAATATGAAAATGGGTTTATTACTATAATGATCCATTATTCTAAAGCTGTGAGGAATTCTTTTTTTAAAGGGGGTCAAGCTAACGTCAACCAAAAAGAGAATTTACAACAAACACTGCATATGTCTTGAAGTTTCTGTGATTAGAGGCCCTCATAAAAATCAAGCTTATGTTCTACAACAGGTCATGTTACAAGAGTGTGATGACTGATCTAGATTGTGAACAATACCCCTATTCTGGGATATAATGTTATCAAACATTGCTTAGATCTTTGAAATACTGCAGAACCCATGGTCCCTTCCAGACAGATGAATAATAGCAGGGACAGCCTTTAATCTCTACTGCATTTCTTTATCTAAAGGAAAGTTCATTTGCAACTTCCGAAGTAAAACAGTAATGAGTAAAGAAAATAAATGAATAAAAGAAAACAACAAAATATGCACATAAAGTACGTGTGATGGAATACCTGTTTGGGGATCAGTTATCAGAAAAAAAATAACTTGCACATCTGGAAAAACTCTAATAGTACAAGGCAGTAAAAGGTCTTAAAAATGGTTTTTCAAAAGATGCTAAAAGCAGAGCCTGTCTCTTTGAATTCATGATGCATTAGGAGAAATAATTTCATTGCACCTTGACCAAATCTGTAGATTTAGATATTGAGGCAGATTTTTTAAGCAGCTCTTTCAGTAAAATATGCAGTAAAATATAACCCTCTGAGGCAAACTTTGAAAGTAAACAAATCGTCTGACCCTGAAGAAAGCCATTTTATGGCCATAGAAAAAAAAATGTTGGGGCCAAAATGTACCTGATTCCTCCCCTTCCAAACAAAGGGTATTACATTGTTAAAAGCTTGTGAGACATGTATATAAAATTAAAGTGTATAATAGAATGCACATGTTTCGCCAAGAATAAACAATAGTAAACAATACACACAAAATCTATAAAAAAGAAATGTGGCAAGCAATCACTTAATACTCTCTTCAAAGCGCTGGAATGCATAAAAAGTTCAAATCAGGTGTCCATAACAAATAAGTGCCTCTAATGAAAATGTAAAAACTGTCAAATCAAAAACAAAAAGAGTGTTGCACACTAAAACCAGAAAATTTCTGTGACCTGCAAAAGCATAAGACATTAAAAAAAAAGCTTAAACATTAACATTTTCAATTCTTAAACATAACCTGCCTTCTTCAGTATCAACAAAATGTACATCAGGAGAGAGTCTGGTAAGTTTTCCCGACTCTCCAATTCACAGTTAGCAATTAGATGACAGCATTGCTGGTTACAGTTAGAATTGCGCATATGGAGGAGCAGTATCAAGACTAAAGATGATTCACAGAACTCCAGGGGGCGCTATAGTCTAGCAAAAGAAAAAAAAGAAATTGCACGTGATTCAATGGATAGAAGCTTTTCCTTTTTGTTTCTTTCTAAAATCCCAGCAGATATAGTAAAGATGGAGCCTTTTCTGATATGATCAGCTCAGAATGATCAACTCTCCACCCTCATAGGGTTGTCTACAAGAGCTAAACAGAGTTCCTAGGGACAGCCTGAAAGGTGGGAAGGGATTAAAAATATTTCCACTTAGATAGGTCAACTGGTGTTACTGATGACGCCAAGTAGGTTTGGCGCAAGTTTCCATCAACTGCAAACGAGGACTCTTCTGCTGTCCAGTCTCCACGCCACTGAGCACCAGCCTGAGAGCTCAGCAGAGAGGTTTAAGAGACAGTTGAATGAGCCCCTAACAGGGGCCATGTGCATTACCTACAGTTGTTTTGTGCTACTATAAGGGACTGGACAGTGGCTGTCAGCATCTTGGTGTGCAGTGCTGACGCAGATGTGTAAATCCTGAAAAGGCATTTCAGAATACATGGCCTTATTGAAGAGAAGGGCACCTGTTTTACTGTCCAGCACTTAAGGATCTCCAGAGGAGCAGACTAAATTGCTCGAGACAGTTGCGGTCTATTATGGTCGGTGAAACCTTGAAAAAGACAAAACAGAAAGAATTCGATTAAACTCGATGCAACTTCATGAACTGTGAATTCAAACTTCAATATTTTTCATCAGGATTATATGTCATAGACAAACACAAAGTAGTGCAAGAGGTGTTGTGGGAATAAAATGTGATTTTCAACCTTTGTCTTATAGATTATAAGGTGAAAAAACACATACAGTATGGGAGAATACCTTATTCTGCAAATTTGCTGTCAACAAAATGTCTTCTGATTAATTGCACATGGGACTTTTGGTTTTCCTTGAACAATTACTTTCTTCTTAAACAGGCCAGATTTTTTAATTGTACATTTAAAAACAACTCTATCAACATATTCTCCCATCTGATCTGTAAATCTCTAAAGTGGTAAATACACCGGATACGTAACAGCGTGTGAGCAAAGCAAAGTGGCATAAGAGCATATGTTTGAAAACTGAAATTTACGCTCAAAAGAAAACGCTCAAAAGAAACAGGTTTGGCAATGGGGCTCTGAGCTTTTGTGACATGGGTAATTAAATTACTTAAATTAGTACTGTGTTAAAGTCATGAACTTATAATACATGATCACCTAAAAATCAGCATATAGACCAATCTGATGGGAAATATAATATATATTTAGATAGCATGTTAGAACTACCAATGTCTGCTGGTTGGGCATTAATAACTGTAGGGATTGGGCATCAAGTTGTTGAAAAAGCAACAAGTAGAAGATGCACCTTGTCCTGAAGTGAACTGTGAAACCGGATGTCGCATTTCTGTTTCTTCCTAACCCAAACTGGAGCGTTTACCCATCTGAAATTAGAAACTCCTCCCAAATTAAGAAAAGCTTTGCCTATATATATATATATATATATATATATATATATATATATATATATATATATATATATATATATATATGGGCATTGAACAAGTATATTACACATCCAGTGTAAACAATTTTACTGTTTAAAATGGAAAGCTGTGCCACTTTGCTTTGCTTATGCGCAGTTACTCGTTTGGTGTATTTACTGCTTAACCCCCTTCAGAGAAGCATTAATCTCTTGGCTGCTTCTGATTAATTGCTCTCCTTGTTCAGGGACTAGCTTCAGTAGACTGTTTGTAGTTGTGCTCTCTTAGGTTTGTAGTTGTACTCAACCCGATGTCTAAACCTTAGGTGTTGTTATACAAGAGATGGACCGATCCAGTTTATTCTGATACAATACCTGACAATATCAGCTGATACTTATCTAATAAAACTGTTAAATCAACAGTATTATTATTATCAGTATTATTACCATGTGACTCAAAGTATTGGGCTTGATAAAAACACCGTGTTGTGTTTGCTCATCACAAGCTGCTGTGCATGCTCTGCATAATGACATAATGCATGTTGCAAACATAGACTTAAAGTTATTAGATCAATATTTGAATTGCTGTGTATGATATCGACCAAAAAGAAATAACTGGATTGGAAGGCTGGATCCAATTAAAACAACCAAACCAATGCTCCAAATGAACATTTATGTCGGACACTGGTTGAACTCTCCAGTGCAGCTTAACAGCTTTATGCATAGGGGTTGGAGATACTGAAATATTGCTGCATCCTCGGTGCACAAAGGAGCATTATTCCAAAGCTGCCCTCCAAACCGCTGACACAGTTATACATGGCTATAACAGTTACTGCTATCCTCCAGTAAATCCACCACTATACCTTTAATTGCAGATTCATTTAACCCTAGTACAGTACAGTATCTTTAAAATCTGTGTTGTTTCTTTGCTTAATATGAAGCAAACTTCCCCTACCTGCTGCTGATATAGCTGAATAAAAACAACACATTTCTACTCTCCTTCATCTTAATGATTCTGTTTATTCTCTAATATTCTTTAACAAACCATCACAGAACAGCTGAACTAATCCTGATTATAAATTACACACAGGTAAACTACTTAGCAACTGGATGGCCGCTGAAGCAAACAGGTGCTAGAATATTCTTACTAGAACAAGAAAAAGGCTGAATAAAAATGTGCAACACTTTCTTTTCTTTCTACTACTTTGTGTTGGTCGTTCCTTTTAAAAGACATTAAAGTTTTTAAAATGTGAAAAATTGTACAAAAGTTCAAGCGTAATTAAACCTTTTTTCAAGTAACTTAAGTAAGAGATGTGAGCTACGACTAAGGCATGTGTCGTCGTTTTTACCATTTCTCCTGCTCCTTACCTGGTTAAATGACGACTTGATTCATGTACTTCCATCTCATTGCTCTTAAAATCATTGAGTTCTTTCCTGATTGCTGCCTGCAGACAAGGAATAAAAACATTGAGAGAACCATCACTAGAGAAGAAAAAAAAAGAAGAAAAACTCCAGCATTTTTGTCCACTTCATGCATTATTCAGTCTTCACTCAAGGCCATGAAGAATACTGCAGAGTTCTCTTTTAACATCACAAGACCTTCACATTTCCCTTCAATATGAAGCCCTAATTTTATAGGGAGCCTTCTTCTGGTCCAATGTTTGTGGTTTTTAGGCATCATCAAGTCTGCAGATTTACTCATAGAAAGAAACCTAGATCCCTTTCAGACACTGCAATAAGTACTTTATCCATAGTTTGAGTCCTAAACTAAATAAGACCCTTGAAAAATGTTAAAAGATCTTAAAGAACTTCAGAAAGTCCAGTTGCTTTTGATTGAGTTTTTTCACCAACCATGACCTTGATTAATAAAAATTTATGCCAGCACCAATTCTAAGTGTGATTACATTGTGCAGACCACAACAATATGCAGCAAGGAAACCATTAATAAAAGAGGGAGACCTAAAGTATGTATTTTTTTGCACTGGTAAGGTTTAAAAAAAAATTAGAAAGTCTGAAAAAAACCCCCAAAAAACTCAAAGTAGCTATTTAAAAAAAACAGGCAGGTCAGCAGTTTGTTTCAACGGATGAAAACAAAAATAGACTATATCTAGACTTTGACCTCATGATCTTAACTACCACCAATAGGCACTGTACGTTTTTACAACAGACTGTTTTTCTTTTTTTCAGAATGTTTCTTTGAATCAATGCTTTTACTTAAAACAGTTTTGCCTGCTCTATAAGTGTTTTCTTCATCCATGATGTTATTGTACAGGTTTTATTTTATTTATTTATTTATTTATTTATTTATTTATTACAGTAAATGGGCTGCCATTTTCCTTTTTTTTTAGCTTGAAGCCTCAGCCTCACATACAGATAGTTAATGACCAGTAAACAAACAAAGGCTAAAAAAACAAACAAAAAAATTGCAAATTTTTTACTGGAACAAAATATCGAACCAGTACTTTTGGCCACAAGTGTTAAATAGTGAGCTTTAATAACTGACTTTCTTATTTTTCGGTCCTTACTTTGTTGGGTGGTTAAAGAAACTTGGGAACTGAGAAACCTTAATATTGATCAATTTTACATTAAAACAGTAATAAGTACAATTACATTTGATGATTGCAGTTTTTTTTATTATTTATTAGAATTGTTAAGGGTGTAAATAGCTGTATATTGTTGATATACATTTTTTAGCATGAGGTGATGCTACTACAAACAAATATTTCAAGGGTTTTGACAGATCTCAAGGATTGCCAATTAAAATGGAGAATGATTTGTATCCTGATTTGTATTTAGACGGTGGATCCATTGGAGCAAAGCATTAAACTGTGTTAATATAAAATGGAAATACTTAAATAACATGTGACTGTGCATCCATTTTCAGTATTATTGTTTTTTTCTGACTTTACTATCAGTTTCATAAAATAAAATTACTAGTTAGGAACTGTAGTTCTTAGACACAGCATGAAAGAAATCATTAAAAGCTTGGATTAGTTTGATGGTTTCAGTAGAGGACACCATTATCAATCATGTAATCTCCATCACCCCCACCCGATAACCCATCCTGTCGAGGAGTTTTGAGCCTAGCTCACACACAGTGCACCATATTACAGTATCACATGTCAATGTCTGGTGAATCACTGCCTTTAAGAAATAGATCTTCGACAGTGAAAATGTTCGGTACATGAATCAGTTCACCAGGGGGGCTTTACATCCAATTTCGAGATATTATGTGTGACGGCAATACAGCAAGGTGACGTTATTGCTTTCACTATTCAACATGACTCAAGGGGACATCTCTAGCCTTAGGAGGAAGTACTGAGGACAGCAGAACAAAATCAATTATTTACCCAATGAAAGAAAAAGGACAGGAAAACAACAGCAGAACGGTGCCATGGTTAGTGGTCCTGAGGCGGGGTTTATCCAATTAGTCTCTTATATAAGGGACTTAGTTGCGTAATAAAAACACCGATTCCCTCTGATGTTCACAAGAGTTCCTCAGGTGTGACCTTGGGTGCTCTAAAGGGAGGAAGGCAGATGATGTGCTCAGCACAAAACTGCCTCTCATTAAAAGTCAGCGGCGTAGATCAGTGTCAGCAGCCGGACCGCTTCAGGGTGTTTACTCACAAACGGTAACAAAACAGCTGAGGTGGAACATGACACTACAAGACAGGAGAAACATGAAATCCTACTGAGTCATGCTATGCAAAAACAATCTAGAAATAAACATTTCTTAAATTTAGTGTATTTACCCTTAATTTGAGTAGGGAAATAAGATGTTTTGCCAATGGAAGGAGTATATTTTCTCCTTAAATAAGATAATAAGATAACATGCATTTGAAATAAGACAATGCAATTATATTTTTCTTATTTTAAAAATAAATTGTCTTGTTCCATTGGTAGAGTGTCTCACTTACCTCCTCAATTCAAGAAAAAATGCACTGATTTAAAAAAATTATTTATTTAGATTCCCATTGTTTGCAGTGTGTCTCCTCTGTGATAAAAGCTACTTCATATGTAGCAGAAATTGCATGGCTTTACTTACATTTAAACAGAAAAAGAGACATTTCGACACAAGAGACTATATCATTATATTTAAAACAGTCAAATACTAGCCTTATCAGCTGCTGTGAGCCGGGTCCAGGGCTTGTCTGCTCGCCGGTCGTAGTCCTGTGCATCTGAAACCTCTACATAGTCACTGAATCTGATAAGAATTTTGGCTTGTCTCAGCTCCTCTACAGTGGGCCTCTGGCTCAGCTGGAACAGGAAAAGAAGAAAAGCTTATGAAACAGTAAAGAAAAAACAAGTAAATCCACTTAAAGCTGTTCGATTAGATAGACTTCCAAATTTGTATACAATCAAGCAGGCAAAAGGAAAGCTTTAACATTAGGTGTATTCAGTGCAAGCATGTTAGACAATGGCTGTGGATATAAAGGCATCGGAACGAGAGCTACACATTTCTGATACTGTGCACCATGTTTTAAAAATCTATTTTAGAAAAAAAAAAAGAAGAAAAATACTGGGTAAAATAATTTTCAAATAAAAGTAGAAATTACACTTTTTAAAAAGAAAACCAAATTCCTCTCAACCAAATGAACAGAGCAAAGTAATAGCTTAATTTGGAGGAATAAATATCAGCCATTTATTGTTTGTTACGATAAATTACTGCAAATGTAAAATATTTTTTGATTTTAAAGTCTCAGGCCAGCAAAAAAAAAAGATTATACATAGAAAAAAAAAAAACAAATTCAGGCAAACTTTATATAAAACCGATCATTAAGAATAGATCTATTCTAAGGGGATCTAAACACAGAAAAGAAAGCTGTAATTTTTTTTTTTTAGAAAATAAATGTCTCTCTAGTGGAATCATCTTAGGATTGGGTATTAATTTGTTGAACAATGTGTTGGCCTGGGCGACGGTAAGAGCTGTAGGCAATTTAAGTCTATCAATATGGTCATGTTGGCATTTTTGTCTTTTCCAGGGGTCTCAAACTTTAATCCTTGATGGTTGGTGTCATGGAACCTAACTCGAGTATAAGCTCATTAGCAGAGGTTAAATGCTGCTAGTGAGGAAGTTTAGCCATTAGATTAATGTGTGTAGGACAAGTGACCTATTTCAAAGTCACATGATACCTGCCCCTGAAGATTTGAGTTGGACACCCCTGCTCTATTCCATTGCCTTTAAAAATGTTTGCATCAATTCAGCCTCTATTGGTAAAAAAATAAATAAATAAATGATGCAACCACTACTATGTTCCACTGCAGTCAGTAACCTGCAAACACAGCCTTTTGCATGCCTGCCAGGTTAACTTTGGCCATGCTCAATGGGCACCGTACTCTTTTACCCTTACCTTTCACTTTCCCCTCATTTAAGTGCTCCAGAAGGAGCAGACTTTTTACATCAGTTTTTTTTTTTTGTCCTTCAAGCCTTGTTTGCAGATTTTTATTGTTTGGTTTCCTCTTAAAATTTTTATTTTCTGTTATACACAAAATAATTCTAAAACTAAAATGATGTGCAAATGAAATATCATATAGACTCAGTTCAAATATTTTCTTTTTACAGTGCACACATCTAATTAATAGAAAATCATGTTTGGAAACCAACACGCTTTGCTTCGTTTATAAAATGCTTATCAATTAATATATCTTTAATCTGTTTTGCCTTTAATCCACTCGCCTCAGTTTGAGAACAGATGTGAGATTTTGTTTTAATCACAAGCTGCATGTGAGCAGAAAGTGCTACTTTTTTATTGACACTGAGGGGAACAACACCTCCCCATGAGATCAAATGATTTGGAAGAAAACATGCTGAAGGAGCAAGGGCAAAAAGGACATTCATCTCCTGTTGAATAAACAATTACAAAAAAAAAAAAAAAAAACACCACACACATTTTAGGCCCTGTGAAAGACGAGATTTATTTATTTTTTTTTACTGTTCCAGTGTTTGTTTACCCTGGCCTTTCATTTGTCCCCCTCAGTGGTCTGAACAGCGCGAGTTTGCACCTTCAGAGCTATTTTGGACTCACCTTTCGTGTCAGCCTCCTTTTTATTTCCCTCTTTTCTTCCATTTCCTCCTGCTCATTGCGGGCTGCAGAAAACGAAAAGATGAGCTGGTTTACTTTGGGGGCAGTCGCATGCAAATCATCAACACTTTTTGGAATTATAATAAATCATTGAAGAGATACAAACATTATTTGCATAATGTAACTCATTAGATCCAAACTAAACTGGAGAAAGGACTTCAAAATGCTTTAAGCTGTTTCAATCATCATTTGCTGCAGTTCACTATGGCTATGGGGAAACAGCAATCAGGTTCTTTCCAAGTTCTCCCTAGGCGATTCAGGTGCCATTTCAAGAATCAAGTGATTCACCCATTAGCAGTGCTTTAAACTGTAGATAATTAACCAGATCTCTAGATTGTAAGATTCTAGATTGTAGAACTCTAGGTTCTGTTGAGAAAACTATAAGGAATCATCCTAGATTTCCACCGGTCAGACATCAGCAACAGCTCAACCTGTATGTACTGCTGCTTGCAGTTTTGTATTCTGGCCACATACAAAAAAGGAGAGAGAAAAAAAAAATCTTTCTTGGTGTTTGAAGGAGAGATGGATTTATCACTCATTTGTGCTTTTCTTCTGTGCTCTGCCTATCAGGCAGGAGCCTCTGGGAAAGCAGGAACTGCTGCTAAGCCAGTCTTTGATGTGAAAGCTGCAAAGACCCAGGCAACAGACCTGCTTCTCTCTGATAGTGTGCATGCCTAAACTAAGGCACAAGCCTCTGTAGACATGGTTTCTCAGGGAGCCCTGCTGCATGGCTGCGTCACAGAAAACCACTGACCAAGGAGAGACCAAGTGGCAAATGTATGTCATATAATAACTATGTCAAATTGATGCAATGACTGAAAAAACACAGAACCAACAGCTACAATAAATGTCAATGTCATGAAACGGTAACTTTTTGGAAACTATAACATTTTTGAGTGAAAATTGGAAAACACTTACGTTTGAGGATGTTCCTTTGTTCTAGCTCCTCTGCTGTGGGTCTCTGGCTCAAGCGCCTGATGAGAAACACATACACTGTCAGAACATTAGCCTATGCAAAAGGTCCGGCAACCAACAGCTAAAAAGGCAAAAGGTTTTAGTCTCTTTGCAATTGCCATTTAATCATGACATTTAAATATTAAGCAGAGATTAATCAACGATTCAACTATAGAAAATATTATGAAAAGACAATTAGATGGCTTTGAAACACATGTGTTTAATATAGAGGGTCTGTCACCCTGCATGAGTGACCACAGTCATGCTCATCATCTGAAACTGGAGGGGTTTAAGTTGAAAATCTACAGAGAAAGTTAGCTCACCTAATCTTACAGCAGGTTCAAGGAAAATATCAACTACAAACCAAGAGGACAATGGGAACTCTGGAAGAGCTGCAGAAGGTAAGAGCTCAGGTGGGGGGATCTTTTAACAAGGTAACCGCTGTGACCATACACACATCTGGTCTTTAAGGGTGAGATGCTAGGAAGGTAGCATTGAAACATGCCATAAAAGTATTATGATTCCCACAGAGCAGGTCACCACTGCTGCAACAGCCTGGCATAGACAGACCATTTTAATAATGAAAGCTTGGTGGTAGCATGATGCTGTGGGGATGGATGTTTATTAAGGACAGATAAGCTGCCAAGAATGAATGTGAAAACTGAATGCATTTAACACTGGAGTTGAAGGTTAACCTTCCAACTGTACAATAAAAAGTCAACAGTAGAATCCAGCTGAGAATCTGTGAGAAGGCCCAGGGCTCGTTGTTCAGAAGGTCTGCGTCTCATAAAACATGAGTAAAAGTTTTTGTACACACAGAGCAGATCTTCAAAGAGGGGAAAAATTAATTTGTTTCGTTTTTTTTTTTTTCAGTTCAGCAGACGCTGAGTGCAAAAGTAGCTTTGCCTGTTTGCCTTCATTAGTATGCAGATCATATTCTAACGACCAAACGGCACTAATTAATGAGAGGGGGATAGGAAAATGTAAGCATTTACTACATGCAAAGCAGTTATTAGAAATGGAAACTCAACTGCGGCCACAGTTTTTGCATCTTTAAGTCTTTCTGAAAGTAAGTTATTGTTTTCACATACATTGGTAGAATGACAGATCATACTTGGACGATTTGAAATAACAGTAGAATAATATTAATAAAAGAACAAATATATCTATGCAGGGGGGTGGAAATTAATGCAGATAATCTTTATACTTTAACCCCAAAAAAGACAATTTAAACAATATGGCATGTATATATATATATATATATATATATATACATATATATAAAAAAAGATGATCAAAAAAGTCTGCAAAGAGACTTAGTGCGCATCCTAAAAAAACAGGGATTTTCTCCCTCGATTCACTGAACCATGAAACTGTTTTATTTCTTTCTTTTTAATCTTTTTTAATCATTTTTCATCATTTTAAATCTTTTACTTTTAAAGATAGTCCAACTATGTAAAGCACTCTATAAATATTATTCGGAGCGCCCATAATTCTGAGTCTTTAAATAGTAGGCAAAATCTTTGTTGACAGATAGCTTCAACCCATGATTGAGTTATGGCATGCAAAATTTTTTTTAAAAGAAATTTGGATTTAGATCTGTGAAGCACACAAAAGTTTCTTTCATGTCAAATCCTAAAGCTTGTGGTCACCTAAGAAAATGTGAAAAAGTTAAAAAGGGCCCTGATGGAGAACCTTGGTTCATGTCTTTCTTAAAACTTAATATTTAAAAAAAAAACGGATCCTATGCTGGTCTCAAACAAGCAGAAATCCTAACTTTCTCACACTGCTTTTGTTATTTTCTCTCTCTGTATAGTTCTGGAGGGGAAAAAATCTCTAGAAATGCCAACAGAAGCCTGGACATTTGCAGATGTACACAATTGAGGGTTTTTTTCTGATTATGACTGTTTTTCATAGTCCTGCATTCCCTCTCTGCAACATATTTACCTTTTCATAACAGGAACATAGTTGTGTATAAACATTTAGGTACCCATTAGTCACTGAAACCCTGCTTACATGATTTAGGTGACTAATGTGCATGATTGTTGTTTTTCCAGTTTTTAGCTGATTGAGCTGACTATGATCAAAATGTGAATCTCATAAAATGTCACATTTCAGGGTGAAATTATGGTTTCCTAAAACACAAAATATATACGTTTCAGCAGTCTAACTTCAGTTAAACACTTTATGATCATGTGGAATGAGACCTCTACAAAACTCATACTAACAAATAAAGCAAAGTCAACAACAACCTGACACATTGTAGATAAGGGCTACATTATGTGCAGTTCAGGAAAACTTGGCAACTTTCTCTACCTTATATTTGTCCCATTTATTGACACAGTAAATTCCAAGAAAGTTAACTAGTTGGAATTCAGAGACCTCTTCTAAAACTGAGAACGACTAACCTCAGTACTTCAGCTTTTGACTTTCCAAATGTTTTCTAAATAGAGTTCTTTAAATGACACCATTTAAGATTAAATGTCATACTTAATGAAAGCTCAACAGAGGCATACCTTATAGTGTCACCCTGCTATGAATACTACCTCACTAAATCTATAATCCATCAACGCAATGCAGTACTTAAATTCAGAAAGAGCCAGACGGTGTCCTTGCTTTAATCCAGCATAGGTCGAATCAGGTTAAAACACCTTTAAAAATCAAACAAATGCTTTATTGGACTTTCTAAAAAAATAAATAAAAAAAAATAAAAAAAAAAAGTGCAAGATGTCAGGAATACTCTCTTTCATATTGGTCCAAAGAAACGCCATTGCATCATGTAGTTGCTCCTGATTTTTAGACCGAATAGAGCAGACAGTTCAGCAATCAAGCTTTGAAGAAGTTGCATGTTTAGGTTGGATGACTCAGACAGTTTTCCTTTGTTATGCTTAGCTTTTGTTTAGTGGTCTTTAGCTCTTTATTCAGTAAAGTAATCCTGTGTGACGGTGATATACCTCCTCCTGGAACGTCATTATCCTCATCAGCCGTTATTAATGAACATAAAATAGAGAAGATGTTGGTAATAGTTTTCCTTTTTTCTTTTGTGTCAACAATCTTACTTTGGTTGAAAAAAAGAATGCAAAATAATGCAAGTACGAGAACATTTAAATCATTGGGTAGCTGAATCCTTTCCAGTCACATTCAAGTCTTCAACTTAAATCAGAACATTTATAGACAAGTCTTTGCAGACACACCTCATCTAGTTGTATAAATATGGCGATAATGAAAAAAATGGGGAAAAGCACAGATGTATTTCCTTTCTCCTGTTGCTGAAAACTCTCCTGATTTTAATCTGCTGTGCTTGGCACCACCCTTTATTAAAAAACTTGTCGTTCTCTGCCCACGTACTGTAGTTTCATAGTCATTAATGTTACTGCCACACAGGGGATGTCTTAGGCAAGTCTTGCAGAAAGATACAGTTATAGGCAAAGAAATCTACTTTGAAAATAGGCCTCAAGGTAGAGAATAGAACAGGTTGGAAAGTATGGATTTGCCAATAAGACAATATCCCAAGGAGAGAGCTACTTTTACCAGTTCCTCCTGACACATTTCTGTGTACACCTAATAGCCTTTCAATTAGGTAAACTCGTTCAGTTGCTTTAAACACATTCCTCAGTCTAATAAATGATTGTAGACCCTGACATTGAAGCCTCTGGACATGATGAATACAACCTGCCAAGGACCAAACAATCAAATCATCATTTAAGACAGTGGTTCCCAAAGATTTTCTTCTGGGCCCCCCTTTGGATTACAATAAAATTTCCACGCCCCCCCATCAACACCCCCCCCCCCCCCAAAAAAAAAAAAAAGATGAAACTTGGCACACACATCGTTCAACCAGATATAATAAATCTATACACATATTTTGTTTTCAAACTCCACTGAAGTTTATTTCACACTTCAGGTTGCAACAAAACAAACTACACACCATCTTTACAGTGGAATACTTTTGTGTAACTGTATTTTTTTTATATTTCTATACTGTAGATTAGAAGAGGATTATTTGTTGTCTGTGTTATTTTAAACATATTTCTTTTTTTTTATTTGTAACAATATTTAACTCTGCTTTCATCTATACATTAAAAAAGCCTCTGTGCAAAATGGAGTGAAAACATTGAACAGCTCCCTGAGAGTTTTTTCTTTGTACTTTAATCCTCCCATCTTTTCAGTGGCTGTAGTGAGCCTGCTTTTTGCTGTAGATCTTCTCAAATCTGGGTTGCAGTGTCACAACTGTCCATTATGCTCAGTCAAGCAAGCGCTGTTTTTTTCTTCTTTTTTTTCTTCATTCATCCATACCGCTTCCCGCGCCCCCCCTGCAAGGGGGGGCGCGGGAAGCCCACACTTTGGGAACCACTGATTTAAGAACTCCATATATAAATACTCATTTGTGCAATGTGTAGATCCAGTTTCAGCATCATGCTGGTGTAAAATTGCTGGTTTTTGGAAGAAAAGAAAAAAAGGTTTTTATGGCACTGTTGTGAAAAACTGGAGTGGAGCTAGTTTGGCACATGCATCACTGTGGTGATTCAGTGAGCGAGGGAGGAAGTCAGGCAGCAGGAGGAAAGAGGAGAGAGATAGTGAAAGCACACTGGAGAGAAGACAAGAGAAGGAGAAAAAAAAAGGGGAGGGAGGATGCATCACTGAAATTAGGTCAGCTCCATTTTCAGAGACTTCTTAACGAGATAAAGCATGTATCCTTATCAAATGTTCAGAGGGGAAGACGATAAAAAAAAAAATGGATGAAAATAGAATGTGAAAAAAAAAGACATCCATTTTGGATAGAGCTGCACGTAACGTGACACAAAATGCCAGCTTCAGCTGAAATCAGCCATTGTTTTTGCCCCTCATTTGATTTGTTTAAAAAAAAAGTTATTGTGGTAGCATGGTTATATTTAGGTAAGCCACATCTCACCTTGTGAGTTTGGTGCCTATCTGCTGGCGTGATTCTAGCCTCTCTTCATCTGTCTGCATAGGCAAAATGTTTTTCTCCTCCAACTCTCTTTTCGATGGACGATTGCTTAGCTTGATGGCCAGTGAATCTTTTCGTAGCACCTTCTTAGCCAGGGTACCTTTAATAAAAAAAAACAAATTACTTTAAATGCGAGTCCTAGTTGAATATGTATACAGATTTTATATAAAACACCAGGTCCCCTCACTTGTAAATAAGGAGTCATCATCTTCATCGTCCTCCTCATCATCATCCACATCATCCTCCTCGTCCTTATACATGCTGGGCAGGTCTTCATAATCCGACTCGCTAGGCAAGTTTTCCTTGTCGTCGTCGTAGTCTATTATCACCGATGGCACTTCTCTCCTGTCCAGGGGAGCACACTGAACACTGCCCAGTAGTGCACAGCTATAGATAGAAAAATAGAGATTTTATTACTTATTTTTTCCTTTCAGGAGTAAACCAGTTGGTGTTGCTTTAGTTAAGTTTTTTTCTGTCATCAGTCTTTGGTTAAATTATCAAAATACTGGACTTTTTAAAAATGTAAGCCTTTAATTTTGCTTTTATTCATTTATTTCAGATCCATTGCTGGAGTATCCTCAATAAACGATCTAAAATCCTTTTGAAATACATTGGTTCTTGTTACCCCATCATTCTACTGCTATATCACAACGGACATACAGCACATATATGATTATTGCTGACAAGGCTGTTCAATCAAATTGACAGACAGATGGTGAAATGGGAAGACAGACAAACTCAGACAAACAAATAGACAGATAGAAAGAAATGGATGGGTAAACATGCTGATAGAAGAAAAGAAAAAGGCAGAGAAAAAAACCAACATCTATGACAGATGAGTGTGACAAATAGATGAACAAACGAAAAAAAGGATGGATCATCAGACAGTCGGATAGGCAGCAGTACAAAAAGATGAATGAGTGGTAAATGATGGTTATATGGACGGACAAACAACAAGACTGATAAAAGAAAAAAAATACATGGAGAGAGGGTTAAAAAAAAAAAACAATGAATGGAGAGCCCAAAAAAATTTATGAACAGACCAACAAATAATCCAAGATGAAAACAGAAGAATAAACAAACTGACCTATATGGTGAAAGACAAAGAAATTAACCTGCAGATCAATCAGATGGTAATATGGGAAATAACGTTTGGACAGGGCCGACAAAAGCTCAAATTGTATCCAAAACATTTCCAGAGAGCAGGAGCCCTGAGGTTGATGAGGCAAATAGCCAATTTTCAAACAAACACATATATCTGTAATATCCAATCCAATACAAAGGGGACAATGAAAACAAGCTGAAAACAAAGCCTAAAAAATACATTCCCCCCCCCCCCCCCCCCAATTTGTGGAGGCATCTCAGGTTAACCAGCTGCACATTTGACAGAATGATTAATAAACAGTCTGGTTGAAGCTTCTTATGATGAGCCACTGTTATGCAACCACTCCCAGCTTTCAGACTAATTGTGAGCTCTGTCAGGAGCATTACTTCCTTATCCCTGCCTAAACAGCTCCAGTGCAAAAGAGATCCTAATGCAAGAGGTTACATAATTTCCAATCTACTACTGTGTCCCTCTTCTCCAAAAAAAAAAAAAAAAAAGGAGAAGAAACTCGGCTCTCGTCAAGAGCAGCTGGTCATGTTATGTCAGGCCAAACTGCTGGAGGGACGCCTACTCCATGTGTTGGTGCCCACACATGCACACAAATTTCACTTGGAAAAAAAAACAAAACAAAAAAACAGGTCAGGGTGCCCTGAGAGGCTGTGTGCTGATTTAGACCTGTGCAACGGCACAACAGAGCTGACAGGATGAGACCTCAATGAAAACTGAGTATACTTTAGAAAAAAGTTACCACTTAAATCAGAGCTAGCAAACAGGAATAAATACACAAAAACAGAAAAAGCAGAAAAAACTTAAACTTTTTTTTCTGGAACTCGAAGATATTCTTCCATTGACCTTTAGTTTGAAATCATCTGTAACTAAACACACTTTCAGCCAAATCCAACTAAGATAAAACAGGTTATGCATAGGAGGCCAAATAGAAGTTCACTCCTAATCTGTAGCCCCCCCAGATTTAACAAGGCAGAAACTAACCTTTCAAACCGCTGGATGGATAGTGCCAGGGTTTTATTGAGCTCCTCTATGATGCGGCTGGGGGCATGAAGGCCGCCGTACTGGAGCTGGAAAGGGTGGCCGTGGTTTTGGTGGAGCTGGGAAAGCCCGATAAACTGGGAGGGCAGCAGCGATCCGTGGTGAGGTGGTAAACCCTGTGGAGGTGCACACTTTGGCGGGAGCGAGTTGAGGGGAATGGGGGACGGAGACGGCGAGGAGTCGAGCCCGCCTGGAGGCACACAGATCATCACTTTCTTAGGAGGCAAGGGTGGGGAGTGCTTTGCTCCGGGCATGCAGGGCAACTTCATTGGCTGGCAAGAATCTTGAGAAGAAAGAAAAGAGAAAGAGAAAATAAGGAATTGGGAATATAGCTACATCACATTATTTGAGATGTCCAGCATAGTTGGATTAACAATGGTTAATAATGATGGCACATGACTATCAACGTCAGTGCAGAGGGGTAGGAATTAGGCCAGAATAATAGCTCCTCCCTACACCAACAGCTTGTCATTGACAGAGAGCACCCAGCTGAGCTAACCGCAGGGGACTTTAATGAGACTACTATAATCCTATGAGCATGTGTGGCAACGCAGGTACAGCATTAGGAATAAGCAGTCAGGCTCATGAAAAACAGTTCATGAGCCTGACTGAGGCTTAGATGATGAGGCAAGCTTAAAGCTAAAGAAGAAAATTCAAAAGAAAACAAATGACTGACCTGTGCTATGGTTTGAGATCCTAGTGAAAGGCTTTGGAGGCAGGGCAGGTGGCTGCTTGTGGTAAAGTGGGGGTTTGGCTGGAGTCTCCTGATGATCACTTGGAAAAGATACAGATTTCTTGGTGGGCAGGACCATAGATGACTTTATGGAGGGTTCCTGAGGACAAATACCGCCATCCATGGAGGATCGGAATTCAACAGTAGCTAAGAGAAAGACAAGATCATAACAAGCAACGATACTCATTAAAACCAAAACATTCAATGCAGCAAAACAACACATTGGCCCCAATGTCTGGTTAAAAAAAAAAAAAAAAAGTCTCCAAAAAGTATTTACTGATGTTTTAGTTTTGGGGGTCACATTGGGGGTTACATCTAAAGTTATTAGAATACAACTGTATAATTCATCTAAGTGAAAGTTTAATAATATGAGTGTTTATTCATTTATAATTTTTTTTTATGAATTTGGCTTATAAATGGATTGCAACCAAAAAAATCTCTGTGAAAAAAAAGAGCATGAAAGTAGGCCAAAAAAATTAAAAGTGGCAGAAATAATTAGTGCCATTATGCTACCAAATAGCTAAAATGATTCAGTTAAATACAATGACAATGTTTGTCCTCTTTCCCATTTTTTACTCTTCTCCCTTTTTTTTCTCTCATCTTGACATACATTATATTATATCTGCATTTTAGGATCTGGTTTATCAAATACAATATCACTATAGTTTCAGTATACTGTGCAACTAATCAAGGAGGAGGCCACAGATTTTGCAGGCCTCATCATATACATCCAAGAAGGGATAAGGTGCAGTTACTGGTAAGGAAACTAGGGTTGTTGACAAGTACTGCATGTATGGATTGTAAAAAAAATTGGTCGTAAATGGTTAAACAATTGTCTTCCCAATTGTGTAAAACTTTACAGTCAATGATTATTTGCAGTGCCAAGCTATCAGTAGGTGCTGGTCCAGCAGACTTATCTCAGTGAGCCCCGGGTTGAACCACCACCTTAACGTAGTCAAGAGGTTTCAGTGCCCGGATGGTCCCAGAGGCTATGTTGTTGGGGGCTTTAAAGTTCCTGATAGGGACTCCTAAGGCAGACTGGCTCTGGGTGACAGGTCAGACAAAGAAAGTTTAAAAAGCCCGTATGAAGACTAAGAAATTGAGGCACGTGACATCGCCCAGTATGGCAGAGCTGGGACCCTACCCTGGAGCCAGGCCTGGAGTTGGGGTTTATTGGCAAGTGCCTGGTGGTTGGGTTCCTCCTTACAGGACCCAGCCAGACCAAGACAGAGACTGGGTAAACAGGGCTGGTTTTGCTCTTCGCCCAGGCTGAAGTCAATGACGTGATCAAAAGACTCTATGCTGGCAAGGCTTCAAGGATGGACAAGATTCGCCCGAGTAGCTTAGAGCTCTGGATGTTGTCAGGCTGCCATGGCTAAAACACGTTCAACATCAGGTGGAGTTTGGGGACAGTGCTCCTGGATTGCCAGACTGGATCGGCGTGGTGGTTACACTGCATAAGAGAGGGGAACGGAGAGTGTGCTCAAACTATAGAGGGATAACACTTCTCAGTCTCCCAGGTAGGCCTATGCCAGGGGGCTTGAAAGTAGAGTTTGGCTGGTTGTCGAACCTCGGCTTCAGAAGGAAATGTGTGGTTTTCGTCCTGGCCATGAAACAGTGGACCAGCTCTACCCCCTCTGAAGGGTGGGGGTACTGCCTTGGAGATAGGGTGATTCAGGATAGCCTGAAATGAATGTTTTAATCTCATTTTATTTTAAGAGAAAAATCTGTAAAACCATAAAAGCTTACTTTAACTGCAAAAGATAGTGCTTTACAATATAGAGCTAAAGTTTAGTTACAATCAGTTTTACATCTTATTATCTGCTTATCACAGAACTCCCAAAATTAGAAAAGACCATGACCTATAAATCACTGCACCCCTACGTTTTATTTGCTTTCACTGGAGTCTACAGATTCACAAGTGACTCTTTGAATCTGTGTCTCACTCAATACATCAATCGCAGCCTCCTTTTTGTTCACCCCCACCAATAAAAAAAAAAATAACAACAACTCTGGCCACACCCTTGCCCTCCTGGTGAATTTGGTCTAGAAATGCCACTGCCCAGATAGAACCTGGGAAATAAAGGAAATTGTATGCTATGGTTTTCAACACAAATTGTGATAGAAATTAACAGTGGGGATGGGCTAAAATGGTCAGAAGTCAGCCATTAGTGGCCAAATAAAAAAAAATAAATAAATAAAAAATGTCCCACGCCACTAGGGAGTATGTTAAGAAGACGAAAGAGTCCAGATCCAACAATGCAGAGAAGAAAGTCACCAGGGTTTCCCCAACAGCCCAGTAAAGCTACAGGATAATTACTTCGACATCATACTACAATGATTCTAAAATGTATGCCAAGAAACATTGCCCAAGTATGACATGCTGATGTAGCGTATTTGGAAATACTTTTATAGGATGATAAATCTACACCAACATTGGTGTGCCTGCCTGGGTTTTCATCAGCTTTGACAGACAATTAAATGAACAAAAATAAACAAACTGATAAAATCAAATATAGAATAAAGTGTATAATGAATGCCTGATCACCAACTTTCTCTAATAGAATTATTGACAGAAGTCAACTTCTTGATGGTATTCTTATTTATTGGGATGCAGCTAACCAGCCACCTGAATTTTTTAATAATATAAACATCTAAGATCATAAAGCTTTGCCGGGGAGTCAGTTAAATCGATATATGGTGACTATTCTCTGGTCTCCAAATGTAGGATTGAAAGAATTTGTTGTTTAGAGGTTTGTGCATTAATCTCTCACAAGGATTTTCAGGCAAGTTCTATGGAAGAAATCTGGTTGTACTCCCTCTGTAGCCTCAATGTGATGACACTGCACTACAGCATGAAATTGGAATTAATTTCTAACTCTTATTACATATAAAAAAAGACAATTTCCTTATCATCACTTTCCACATTTTGGCAGGAGCATGGGGACTTGTAGAGCCTTGCCAACTGTTTTCTTAAAGCCCTGTAGCACAGAATTAGCATGACTCAGATACAGACTTTTTCTTATAGAAGCTTCAGAGTTTCGATAAAACTTCAACCAGTAAAGATGATATTTTCTGATGCCCCATGTCAAATATTTCAAAAAGAAAAATCAGAGAGTAGGGACTTATGAAACAGTAAATAAATAGATCAGGTTGTTTAGCATTCAGCTCACCTTTTTCAAAGATCTCCTTCAGAACCCCTCTTTTGATGAGTTCATCTCTGCTCTGTCGCAAGGACATTTTCCTCTCCAAAGCTGGGAGTATAAAGGAGAGGTTGGTTAAAGATCTTTGTATACCCCGCTATCCATAGCATCATTATCTTTTATGTGTTAGTTCAGTTTAACTTGTGTATTTGACAACTCCCACCATCAGAAGGAAACAGGCCTTACCTTACCTATTACATAGGTTGGATTACTTGCATACAGTTCATTCTGATCAAAATATTCTCTTTAAATAGTTACATACTGAAGTTCCAACTGTGTCAAATTGAGGAATTTCAAAAATCCGCTCATAAAAAAATAAATTGATAAATAAATCACAACATGCTTGCACTCAAATTTAAATTAAAATATGTTTGAGGTTTCTATCATGAAGCACATGCAGGAACACTGCAACATCAAACATCTGGGTTCTGTTGTTTAAAAATAAAATATATATGATGTGGAAATAGAGCAAGTTTTTTTTTAATTGGTTTGCATACACATGTTGAGCAAAATAAAAACCAGTGCATTTCAGAGAACTGTATTAGATGTGTCTAGAAAGATGAACTGCAGCTCACCATTTGTGGTTGTCATGGTAACACAGTATGCTTTACCGTGCTTTTAAGGAGCTTAGCAGGCAGAAAAATAGATTTGACCTGGCCACCAGGGATCAGTAATATGATGGTTTATCACACCATCAGTAGCACAATCCAATTCAGTGAACCAGAGCCAACAAACATACCTAAAATACATACCAACAATTTTATATCAGGATTGACAAGTGGTAACAAAATGTGACATTTTTAGAAAGAACAAAAAAATAGACAATTGGACTTTTAGACAAAGTAATGAAACCTAATGGAAAAAAAGAATTACACTAAAGGAAAATGTGCATGTGGTGCTTTCAATACAACAATTACTGTACAAACCACTTTCTTTTTTTAAACTGCATTTCAAATACAATTTCTTGAAGCTAAGCTTAAACCCCCAAAAATGCACAAAACTTTAACAAAATAAAATATGTGCACCACATCCAATCAGTAAACCATAAATCAAAAATTAAAAAAACCCCACTCTGCAAGCTCTGATGAAACTTTTGTAGGGCTACATTAACTTTACAGAGAAACATATTGTTCTCTCTAAATGGTTAAGAAGTAGAAGCTTTGTTTTTATGACTTATTGAGGCACATCTGGTTTGATCAGGCTTAAAAGCAGATTAAAAAAATGTAAACTCCACAATAATAATATTGTCTTTGTTTTATAATATTAGCAAACCAGTTTTTACAGTAACTCGTCTCTCACACCCATGCAGTAATTCCAGTTCTGTACAAAATATAAATAAATTATCAGTCATGGCAAGAATGGCCAACTAAAAGATAACAGGTAATGTTTTTCTTATACCTTCCAAAATTGTAGTTCTCAAACAGAACCATAATTTGCAGAAAAACAAATAAAAATATGGGACTGGGCCACTAAGTTCTGATCCGTACATCTCTGATTTGCTTATAGGCCTAAAAAAATGTAGCTCTTCTCCTGTTGGGTACCTGAGCTGATTATTACCACATCTATCCCTGCATAGGAACCAGGTGAGAATGAGAAATGAGGATGTGTAACGCTGTGTACAGAGGACTCCCGCTAGGCCTATGTACTTTGGCTTCAGCTTCTGAGAAGGATCACAGCTTCTGCCATCTGTGCTTTTTGATCCAAGAGTAGTAACTCTGCCTGCTATTTTATGGCAACGGCACAATATGCTGCACTAGAAATGAATCAAAACTAAAAAGATGTCAAACATCCTTTTGTACATAAAAGTTTTCAAACATATTCAGTGTTAGATTGGGTCCAATCCTTAAATTAGTTTTTACATAAAAGTTAAATTATTCCCTGTTTTTTTTTTTTTTTTTTTTTTTTTTTTTAAGGAAAATCATTGGTTGTAAATAAAATTAAACAAAAACAAACCATGTAAGTTTAAATAAATTGTGCCTTTTTGCAGATGCTTTAAGATTTTCCTGTAAGCAGCCACATTAAACATTGATTATGCCCCACATGGGAAGCAAATATTTAGGGGGATAGTAAAAAGTGTTATCAAAGAGTTGACCCAGAATCAACACAGCATATTTTTAGACTGACGGGGAAGCAGTAACTTGACTGAACTGCTTTATCAAAACACTGCAGAGACCGAATTTAGCAAGGGAACAGATGTGTTCCCTTAAAGGTATAGTGGAGGATTTTCACATTTTTGTATTAAGACCCGCCGTTTCCACTTTAAAAAGAAAAAAGCACATGCACAACCTTGTACCTGCTCCGGAGCGAGAACGCTTATTAAACAGGTGCGAGCCTGTGCACGAGCACATTTCTCCTTGTGCACGCTCAGTTTAAAAGTTGCCGTTTACATCGCTCATACAAGCTTAATTTCCAAAAAAGATTTTTAATTTTCCCACTATGTCAGACTCACCACTGGTAAGTGAAAATGGGGACAAGCATGTACGACGACCGTAAACATATTACCAGAACGATTGACAATTAGGAGGACCCCTTATTTTGGTGATTCACCTGGGAAAAATAACATCTTCCACTATACCCTCAATATTCTCCTATTTAAAAGAAAAAAAATAAACTCTGGCCAAAAAAATATTTACCCATGTTTAAGGTTACTTTAATTTAAGCTTTTTTTAAATTACATTTTTCAGATCAAACCAATTATACTATTAGAAAGATAGAATCAGTAGGCAAATATTACATTTAAAATACTTATTTTGTTCATTAGGAAAAAGAAAAGCTATCCAGTCCAAATAAGGCTTCACTTATTATTGTCATAATTAAACATCAAGAAATCAACATCACCCAGAATTGATTCTGGTTAGCAACCGCCCCCCCCCCCCCCCCCCCCCTTACTGTTTAAAAACTTGGACACCAGAATCAAAAGAAACTGGAATCAAAACAATGAAATGGAAAAGTTTAAATCTGCTCAGTCCCATCAATCAGTATGAAGAGGTTTACAAAATAGTTGTCTAAAAGCATAAGAACACGTTGAGAGCCACCAACCTCAAATTAAAACAAAGGGTTCTAGGAACTTCTCTGGAACCTCTGGGGATTATTTAACAAATAAGAATTCCTCATAAAGTAAAGAACATTATGAACAACAGTGAGCATCCTTTTTAAAAGACTGCCAAACAACAGCTTAGTGTCTTCGTTAAGAGGCTTCTCCAGATCCGGTCCAAGACAGACCACTACAGAAGATCCTTCCAGCCTACAGCTATAAACACCTATAACCTGAGTATATAAAACAAAACAATAAAAGAAATATGTTTTATCGCAACATAATTTCTCTTTGTATTTTTGTAATGTATTAACTTTTTTAGAGTGAACATCAAACTAGAATTACAATAAGCCCATCCTCTAGGTTGGCACTAAATAATCCAGAAATGGTAAATAGTCTTTACCGTATTTTCACGACCATAAGGCGCACCGGACTAAAAGGCGCACTCTCAGTTATGTGTCCCATTTCTGTATTTAACACACACATAAGGCGCACCGGACTATAGGGCGCGTTTTTTATATACAGGTACAAGTCCTGTACTACCTTTAAATACCTCTACTGCGTATTTAAAAATACAGCGGGGGCAAAACTGAGTATGACTGTGCTTTATTCATGTATTTATTACAAAGTATTAATCAAACCTGGCAGCTGGCCGTGAGACAGACCAACATCGCAGATGACACAGCGCTGTGATCACTCCTAAATTAACTTAAAATCCTGAAACCTGCTGACGGAATATGTTCGCTTTTATTGCCGGTATCCTGGTGCCTGCAGCTAAAATTATTTAGATGAAAAACACCTGCCAGCAGCCGCGGTGAACCCCAGGCTGCCCAGCCTACAGGCTGCTGATGAAGAGATTTCTGCTGTCAGCGCACCGCTGGTATGTGGGGGTCTGAGCGCCTCCGACAGAAATAGATAATCTGGATGAACTGACTGCAATTATTAAGTTTTCAGGTGGACTTTCTCACTTAAAAACATATTAAAACTACTGTATTCCCACTGATCACAGCAAATATAGCTGCAAGATTTAGATTATTTAGATGAAAAAACACCTGCCAGCAGCCGCGGTGAACGAAAGGATTTCTCCTGTCGGCGCACCGCTGGTATGTGGGGGTCTGAGCGCCTCCGACAGAAATAGATAATCTGGATGAACTGACTGCAATTATTAAGTTTTCAGGTGGACTTTCTCACTTAAAAACATATTAAAACTACTTTATTCCCACTGATCACAGCAAATATAGCTGCAAGATTTAGATTATTTAGATGAAAAAACACCTGCCAGCCACCGCGATGAAGAGGAGGAGACGCGCCGGGGCTGCTGTTGAATTAAGTTTTCAGGGAGAAAAATACAACGGGAGCAAAACTGAGTATGATTGTGCTTTATTCATGTATTTATTACAAAGTATTAATCAAACCCATCAAAGTCATCATCCTCTGTTTCTGAATAAAACAGCTGCGCTAAATCAGACATGCCAGTTTCCCCTTCTGCGCTGTCAGAGTCACTTTCCGTGCAGCGCAGCTCCTCAGAAATAATGCCGGCTTTTGCGAAAGCTTGAACAACAGAGCCAGCAGACACTTTAGTCCAAGCATCTACAATCCATCCGCAAACGGTGGCGTAATCTGCCCGGCGCTGCCTTCTTATCCTGAAACTGTGGTCTCTGTCGGTCATCCATCGCTCCCACGCCGCTCGCAGCCTTACTGTGAACGGCCGCTTCAAACCGATGTCGAGCGGTGGAAGCTCCTTTGTCAGACCCCCGGGATAACGGCGAGCACAGCGTTCATTTGATTCATCTTTTTTTCACATCGGCTGTGAGATGGGCACGCAGGTGACGCAGCAATGGTGATGCGTGGAAAAAAACACCTAGTCTTCTCAGATACACCTGCCTTTCATCATCTCCTCATCGATCCAGCCTTTTCATTTGCGTTAATATCATATGTCATCAGAGCGCTGTACTGTCTCGCTGGCAGCTCCCAGATCAGCTTCTCTGATTGGTTGATGCGGCGCGTCCAGCAGCAA